CTTTTTAACTACTAAGTAACTCTTCTGTGATTTTATTTTGGCTTGGCTGATTTTGTTCATACTTGACAGGTAGGTCGTTCAATCACTAATTGGAAAAACAATCCTTACCCACCGCTCCAAATTTATTACCTCCTACCAGTCTTGTAATAGCAGTGTTCAAATGATCATGCCTTTCATTTTGGCTACGTTGCACACTAGTAAAATATCACCGGCACCGACATTGTTACACTGAATCAACGTAATCCCAACGCAACTTTGAATGAAAGGTAAATGTTGCCTTCAATCTAGAAAATACTATCGCAAAACGATTGGAAATAATACATTTAAAGACAGAATACGTCCAAGCAATAAAATAAGGTGACTTCTAAAGACTGAATGTTATTTTGCAAACTTCGTATAAGGTGCCCGGTTTTAGTTATAAACCAACGTTAGCTTCACGTTCATGTCCTGCCATGGTAACAGCCAAGAACATGTTGCTTGTTTTTTAGCAGAGCGGATCGCTAACCAGCCTTACCGGCTTGTTTTCATTGGCAACCGAACAAATTTTCGTCTGCTATTTTTATCCAGTTCAAATCGTTCAGCAACATTTTTGGCATATTAGATGTACACCACATGGAATACTACGATTGAGAGAACTTGATGTGTGTTGACTGAGCTTATCATAGACCATCAACATCAAAGTACCAGGAGGTTTCAAGATTCGTCCAATCCAGGGCTAACAAGCAACATCACAAGCGAAGTTGTAGCTAGCGTGCAGCTCATCAACGACCGCTGTCAACGAAAGTCATTCCGTCAGTGGAGTACCGCAGTTGTGACGTCATGTTTGCCAATGCACAATTCTATGGAGGAACTTTTAACTTAATTTAAACTACGTATGACTGATTCGAAACATTCCATCGAGATCGGACGGTGCCCTATCGTGACAACCCTTCACCATTGTATTCAAACGAACCACGTGGTGTGCTGTTACATTCTCCTTCAAACCCGGGATTCAGCGATGCAAAAGAAGGATAGATATTACTTTTCAGTATACACATCTCTGCTTATACAATCCTTCACATATTCTACTCCCAATTATTCCTGCATAAAATGTTGACATTCTGAGTAAAATCACGTGATAGGCTGTTACAATTGGCTGTTACATACTTTTTAGCCGGTCTGGAAAATGTGTTTAATTAGCTCTCATTCAAGCGACAATGCACATTTCCCAGTGGGAGTGAACCTAGCTCGAATCTGCCATTAAAAAATAGGGGTGTTTTCAGCAAAAAACGAATAACCCTTAAGTGCACACAATACACTAAATTTCAGAACAAATCTTGCATTAGTTACAGCAGCAGAATACCACAGAAATATCAGACGAAACATGAAAACACTATATATTGTATTTTGGCCTGAACCCTCTCTATTGCAATTCCTGGGATTACCCCCATATGTGCAACCATTTTCCACCTTCGTATCACCCAACCCTGAAAACAAATTCTTAATACCACGCTGAAGCGTTTGGTAATAATCAAAGAAAACTTAGAAAGAACCCCTGTGTGCTAAGTGTATTGGAGACTTCCACATTAGAAGTTTGGAAACTAATACTGGTATTTGTCTGCTACTTGAGATGTACTAGGTAAAAACAATATGATCAACATTATTGAAATTTATAATACTTACAGAAATACATTTGATTTTACATCATTTATTTCAGAACGCCTCTCTCTGATTGGCTAATAATAATTGATAATCAATATGCATAGTTTTCAACATTAAACTAATATCTTTGGGTTACCCCAAAGCATTTATGAACCAAATTTCGATGTAATTGATGAGTATACATTGTGCAAATATTGCAATTAGTATGCTCAATTTCAATACAAAACTAATGCATTATTCATAGGAACTTATATACTAAGTCTTATTAAAATGCAATAATTGTTTGTTTGTTTTAAAAAGAGGAATTATTATGCAAATTCAGCAATTATGATTATGCATAGATTGCAACCCAAAACTAAATGAACTGTGCATATATGTCCTGGGCACATATTTAGCAAGTTTCATGATGATTAATTCTTTTGAAATTGATGGAAAGCAGAAAAATAAATTATTATGCAAATTAGGTAATTATTATGGATGAATATAAACCCAAAACTAATTAGATCGTATTGTCTTAGAGTATGTATGTAATAAGATTCATCTATCTTACTGCAAAGACTTCCATTGTGTGCTTTGCACAGGAGTCAATAAAAGTCTATCTATATTTCAGGGCTAACAATACCACTGATGATAACTGACTGTGGTTTTCAAGGAACAGATTAATAGGGAACAGTTCTTAACTTTGAGAATTAATTATTTGACAAAAATTGTGTATTAATTTTTTTCTGAAGTATTGTAATATTACAATATCGCAAGAATATCGCAAAGTATGCACTAAAGCAGTATGGTGATTATATTGACCGGCGCTTAGCAGAAGTTGATGCGACTCCGTCTGAAGAACAACCTTATTATTAATCATTTGTTTCTGTTTGTAGTAATAATTCACAGGTTAGAACATGAAATGGCAAACAAAAACATTTTGTGTTGTGTCAATGTTTGTCTTGATGATGGGATTCTATTTCCGTCACGGGCTATAGTATGTCTACGTTAAATGTAACCCAAAAAAGTGTTTGAATGTGACGTCAATGTTGGTGACGTAGTTCCTAATGTTCCAAAAGATTTATAAGGATATAGCAGTTTCCATGATCAGTTTATTTATGATCAGTAACATTAGTCGCCAAATGACATCCTATCAATAAGTGATTGATAATGAATAAAAACTTTACATGTAAACACAATAATACAGACTTACCTTTTGTGTACTCTTCAGGCTCATACCAGCCATCCCATTCTCCATGTTCTTCTGTTCCTAAGATAATTTTAAATTCTCCAACTCTGAGTGCAGCAGCATTGTGGTTTTTATGAGGATCAATATTATGAAGAATTTCTGTTCTTGGAGATGGCGTTCCCCTGCAATATATCCAACAATCACACATGTTGCATTTTTATACTCTCATTCATAGTTACTTATCCGTTCTCTGTCAGCACATCACCTTCTGATGTCATTTCTCCCATTCAGTTTGGGTATCTATGGAGGCTTTCAATGGACGGCTAATCAATATTATGAATTTTTGTACAACTAAATTCTGTGTGATCTCGTTCAGATTTTGGAAAAGACACAAAAGTCTCACGGGATCAAGAGAGAGATTGCCACAAGAGTTGCTTTTCCCTTATTTGTTATAAATTGATTTTGTAATATTACAACAAAGTAAAATATCAATATGAGAAAATAACAAAACAAAGTCATGTGAATCAGATACCAGCAAATTTCCAAAATGATATATAGTATAGTATGGCCACTGCTTCCAACAGTACAGAAATGTGTTGAAGATAGAGATATAAATATGGATGATGGGAGAATGTCTAGAATAAGTACCACCAGCCCAAACAAGCCATTGCAAACCTTCCTTGAAGCATCAACCAAGAAAGTAGAATTCACTGATTGATGGGCGCTTTTGTTCTTGACAATTGACTTTCCCCGTCATTGAGAGTGCATGGTATCATGATACCTAGGATCAGGTGCAGTATCATTTTGAAGCGTTTCATGTATTTTTAAAACATGGCTTTTCCTAAACTCAACAAGAAGTATGCTTAAATCTTATATCTATCATTTTTATATTCATAATATGCGACAGAAAACATTTTGATTATCGAAAAGAACAATTTCGTGAAGCACTTGAACAAGATACATCACAATTGAGTGTGATTTGCATAATAAAATCTGATTGACATCTTTTTTTTTATACACCCAAAGCTGTGGTTTAATAATTTAATTAATCTCCAAGAACAAATAAGTAAAATAACGTAAAGTGTAGTTACTGTACCTAGATAATGTATCCCAGACATTGAATCCATCTAAGTTGGTTGGTAAACTAGATACATTACCCCCAGCAATATGATATATAGTAGGCAACCAATCACAGACATGAATCATATCAGTAGAAATCCGTCCAGGTTTTTCCAACAACGGACTATGAATGAATCCATCACCTCTGACCCCACCTTCCCAGAGGGTGTGTTTGATTCCTCGTAACGGCCAATTAGATGCATAATTAGCATCAAATCCAGCAGCGGGACCCCCGTTGTCAGTGCTGAATAAAATGATACAGTTTTCATAGAGTCCTGAGTGTTTTAGTGCCCTTGTGATGTTTCCAACAGAGTCATCCAGTGCTGATACCATTCCTAGTTAGGTGAATACAGTGTGATACTAAACCAATTCATTAGGTAATTGTGATTCTCACTATAAATTTCAATACAAGGTGAAGTTTTCACACTATATATAATACCAAACAAACTAATAGACCCCTTTGAGGATAGAATTGCGTTCTGACAATTTACTGTTGATCAAAAAATATTATGGGATTTTTGGGGGGTAAAGTCACATGACCAACAGCAAAGTTTGATTTTGCCTCAAGAAATACTTTTGTGATAGAACACTTTGGCTGAACATGATAGCAACATCAAAATGGTCTCCTAGTGAGTAGAATACCAATATTGTTGAAAATATCACCGATGGCATTGACCAATTGTATATTGAGTTTGTCAAGCGAGAGTTCCAGAGGTTTTCTCAAAATACGCATGGTGACACAATGTCAGTACACTTTGTTTGTTAGTATGTGGTCAATAAATAAACACTGCTGAAGTGTATAATACCTAGATGACTACTTTGTTTTAAAGACAACAAAATTACTGTACAGATAAAACTATGTAAGAAAATAAACAGGCTCCATTGAAAGATTTGAGGACAGATTTGTTGACGTGCATATGTAAGACATTATGTATTGTCTTCATGTAAAGTTTGAATGAAATCCATCAATGGGTGTCCATATATGTACGTACGGATGAACTGACGGAACGAATCCAAATTAATAGTCCCCGTTTTTGGATTTCGTTCGAAAACAAAATTACTGTACAGATAAAACCATGTAAGAAAATAAACAGGCTTCATTGAACGATTTGAGGACAGATTTGTTTACAGCCGTGTCACTCTACCTGCAAATGTTCTTCTTCTCTCATCTTGTATATATGGAAATCTACTTGTATACTTGTAGGGAGCTTCCAATGGACTGTAACTATTACCACTGTGTACAGCTTGGTGAGCTAGGTATAAAAATAATGGCTGGGAAAAAGAAACGATAAGTTAAGCAGACAATGTGGAAGTATATTTGAACGTATTTGATATTGTGTCTTGATATAACATTTTGCTATGATTTATCATAAAGTACAAATAATGTCTTGGAGGCAAATACAAGTCTTCATTAATGCAAAATGCTAACTTTGTATTTCTGTACATTAATCTGGGATACATGTGCATTACATAATTTCATTAATTATCAATGAATATTTCTATGTTTGCTGCCAAAACAAAGGTTTTATAAAAAGCTTTTATTTCAAATATTGAAAACAATTATTTAAACATGCTCGTTTTGGTATGTTGGGTGATTATTCTTCTATATTCAATAATAAATATCGAGGGTCACTAACTTAGTTTTAGAAAAAATCCTACACACAGTTAACACTTAGGTTCTATGAAGAAAAAGAAGTAAATTATGACCCTTGAAAATATAAAAAATGATGACGATGATGAGTTTGTAGAGAACATTTTCTACAAATAAAAATAATGGTTTTAAAGATTTCATAATTTCCACCACACTGTGTGATAGAACGTATTCTCACATGAAGTTTGTGTTTTTGAAACGAGTATACTTGATATTTAAATCTTTTCCTGAGATTTTCTATTGTTTTTCACAGAGGTTTCAAGACTTGACACATATTAGAAAAAAATAAACCCCAAGAAATAAAACATTTCAGAGTTATAAAAAACTGTTTCTTCAAATTTGTATTATGCTGCACCTTGTACAAATTTAATGTGCGCAGATAATGCGTCCAATCACACACATTGCAAAAATTACACTTAATTTGGCTTATTTTTAAATGAGTTTCCCCACAATGCACTGCAACCTGACTAACAAACTTAAATTTTTTTTTTTGAATTAACTCCATTCATTTAACAAGTATATGCAAGAATAATAGAGAAATTACGGGACGTCATATAACAGTATGGATATGCATTTATTTAATATGACAAACTTAATAAATAAGTCACATGAGAAACAAAAAAAAATGATAATTGAATGCAACCAATATATTTCATAAGTAGCTGTTTGAAAATATTAAACAAAATGTTAGGTCTACATACTAATTTTATCCTTCTAGATTTCTACTTTTTACTTCTTTACTTTGAACATGAATTAATGTCACCATAGAAACAAGAACAGAAACTTATTCCATTCATATGGTGGATGTAACCTATTGTTCAGTAACACACCGTATTAGTACATGTAGTATAGTTTTAGTTGAATTCTAAGTTTAATAGCAATGAGTAGGTAAAATAATGAAATCAGTTTATTGACTTGAAGACAGACAGGTGTGTCCGCCATCACCATGCTAAAAATTGTTAATGCCTATACCTTGTTTTTATTATGATTGTGTATTATCTTCTCAGCATAACTTGTAAACAACTCTGTACTGTATTCACCATAGGCAGATTTGAATAATTCAGTATTGTTTCTAAAATCCAGACCAATATACTATTAAAGTGAAGGCAGAAAAAAAAAACACATTAAAATCAGCATTTGACTGCACATTACTGACTATAGCAGTACCATGTTTATTTTACTTACCACTTATTTTGGAATGAATATTAATATTTATATTCAGGTTAAAAGAAAAGACAAAATACAACAAACTAATTCAGTTTGACAATTAGACAGTGACATCGATTGAATATTTAACTGAATAAGCCGAGTATGAGTGACTAAACAAAACACATACACACCAACTCAAAGACAGTCAGAGACAATATAGCTGATAATTATAATGAATATGGTTGGCTTTGATTACTCAGAAAAGTTACACTAGTTGTCGTCTAGTGTTGATAAATTATGTGTTGGTGGTGTTTTTATTGCGCCACCTGTTTTATGAAAAATCCATATCAATAACATAACACATATCGAATATACTTTTGACAGGATTCCAATAGTTTCAGTAAATAAGTAAACAAATCAAAATGTTGCACGCTGCTCATAAGGTATATTGAAATCAGCAACTAAACCCGAAAATTACACAACTTTCAATCCAAATTGTCTCTTACCTTGGGCTCTTCAGCCGTATGATCATAGTAACCTTCTTCTCCATTATAGTAACCAAAATGAGTGTCAAAACCACGGTATAATGGAGTGTATTGCCAAGCAAAAAATCCTAAGTGCCACTGAAAGCAAAATACAAGCATTCTGTTAATTTTTCAAGATAGTACCTTAAAATATTATGTAAAATGTAACTGAAGAAGGTTTTCACAGAATTGACCTGTGCATTATTTCATTAAATAATTAATTACCAAACACACTTTACTTTTCAGTATTCCTCATTACAGTGAGTCAAACACGTGTAAAACAACTAATAAAAGGGTCTTTATAGACAGGTTGTCTTTATTTGAAAGTTGGATATTTTTTTTACAAAAATAATAAGATGGTACTGTTGTAACAAAAACACATTTATTTGATGTTGATTAAAATCAAATGGTGTACACTTAATTTTTCTTGAATATTGAGGTGACATTATACTCACTTTACCAACAATATGTGTATCATACCCCAATGGCTTCAAATATTGTGGCATTATAGTTTCATTCAAAGGCAATCCATACGGGTGGGAAGCAACTATCACACCATCTTGAAGACCTGTTCATTGAAAGCATTGGATGCTACATAATTTACATAATAACATACTTAATTTGTATGTTTATTTTGGTATTACATATGTTGACTACAGGTAAGTATATTTCATGATTTATTGTATTATTATATTAACCTTTTCACCACCAGTTCCCTCTTTTCATCACAAATTCACAAAGTAGTACTGTTTATAGTCTGCATTTTCCTTCAAAAGATTGGAACAAATATAGCCAATTTATTGAGCAAAAACTGAATATTGACCCAAATTGTGTCTGTTGGCTCCAAAATTAGGGTTCATTTACAGAAATATTGTGGAATATAAGAAAAAAGTGCATACAAATTTGGATGAGAAAGTCTGGCGATGAAAAGGTGAAATATCAGCAATATATTTGAAAGTGTAATCTTGCACAGACTACATAATGAAAAATACTTCTATGTAAATATATATGTGCTAAGTTTGAACTATCATATCAACATAAATCTCTGAGAAACCAAAATACCGGTAATACTGGTATACCGGTAATATTGGAATATTTGAGAAAGATGAAATTTAAGTACCGGCAATGCATTTTAGCCGGGACCTGGCTTTAAAAAATAAACAAAAGACTGCCGAGCTGTTCACAAAATCACAGAATTTTTTATTATTTTGCCACTGTTTGTCATGTCGTGCTATGAACTACCAATGGTACAACAAGCTTGTAACCAATCAGTATACATACTGGTAGCTTATAAAAACAGTGTCACTTGTTGTCAAGTGAAGTATAACTAAAGTTTTGGTAGTCTAGCAACGACACGTTACAAGCTATGCACTGATTAGCTGATCATTTCTAATTCTCTAAAACTGTCTCTTCTAAGTTTACAGCTAATCATCAATTGCACAAAAAGTGACAAAATATAAAATCCCAAATAATTGTAATTTTTGGGGATATAGAAAGATAACACTCTTCGTTGTATGGCTGTAAAAAATTTGCCATCTTCATCATTACTTTTTTTTAGAAAACCAAGTCCCAGGTTGTAGGAAATTCAATGTGTTTACCAACACAAAATTTATGTGCATGTGGCGTGAGGACCAAACACCTCAATTTAACTTTTTAACATATATACCTTGCCAGCTAACATTTGTAACAATGGTAAACTTATAAAGTGTGAAAATTATGCAAATGCAATAGTCTTTTTTTTCCTCATGCATGGGGGGAAATATTGATTTAGGTATATGTAAACAGCACATAGGTCAACAATAAATTTATTTTCAGGTACATGCATGTTTGTTATATATCTGTGTTGTTCAAATTAACCGAAATTAACGTAACAGCTTCTATTTTTCTCATGCAAAGGATTTGTGTTATATTACTGTAAATTTTGTAAAAGTGTTTCTCTCACCTAAATGTATAGGATGTCTTCCTGTCATGAGGGCTGCCCTTGTAGGTGTACAAATTGGTTGTACATAGTAGTTATGTAATAATACACCACTGTAAGCCAACTCATCAATGTTTGGTGTTGGAATCTGATCAGAACCATGGAAACTAACATCATCCCATCCCTGTGAAGAAAATTTTTATATTACTGCAATAATTCTAATATACAAAACAAATTTTTATACATAACATATCAAAGTAGTCCAATATTACACATTTGGAAATTATATAACAGGGCTATAGTCAGAGATGTTGTATATGTAGAATGAAGAAATTTGTTGATATGCATGAAATGAATATAGCAGCTAGCTTTCAGTCTTTAATTTTTGCAAAAAATTCATCACTGTCACTAGCTTTAGTGACAACTCACTTATCTGTGATGAATATTCTTAGGAGCGAACATCCAGGCATTTTCACTGTATGGAAACCACAGCCGGGGAAAACAACAATCAAAAACTCTCAAAAAACTGTGCTTTGGGCCAGCTGCTATTAAGACTCTCCAGAACAGTGTAACAAGATTACCCCTACGTGTGCAACATACATAAATTTGGTTGTTCAGAATTGCCTCATAGTTGAGATTCTGTTATTTTCTCGACTTTAGCTGTTTTCACTGGCAGCACAGCAGCTTATGCAGAGCCCATAGAAATACATGGTACAGTGGTGAGTATCTTAGCAACGTTCTGTGACGTAGCTCTGCTATCGAGAATATACACTCACTCTAACAATAGATACAAGTTACACACTATAACGATGAAGAAAACGGTCACAGCGACATATTTAGGTATGTGGCTCTCTAGAATTTGCCAGACACTTCTTAATACTTCAACATTTTATGCAATGAAGAATTCAGCTGTAAGTGTTAAATATGAAGTCAGCATGAAGAAACTACTGGCTCAATTCACTTGATGATAATACCAGCATTCAACTATACACAGACATTTATTACCTGCATTCTATTGTATATTATTTTATATCATTGCAAATTTGATATGCTTCTATATATATTTTTTATTTCAAATACACTCAAACTTGACATAAGAAATCACTGTGTTACTTACTTGAGTTATATGATCTCAGCACTAACTAGTGACAGATTTACACTTACCAAGTCATCAGCTATTATTACAATGATATGTGGCTGGGAAGATGTTGCTAGGCAACACTCTGATAATATGGATGAGATCATTATGATACAGACAGTTACTGTTGTTCCTTTCATTGTGAAGGATATCAGTGAAGTTGACTATAGAGGTAAGAATGGATTCTGTAATAGTTCATAAACATAGTATCTTATTAGAATAAAGTTTACTGTCAAAACATGGTTATTAAAATAAAAACATGGTCAAAGCTAGAACAGCACTCATGCATGGTTCTGGTCTTTTTCTTTTTTGTACCAAAAAAATAATTCCGGCCTCCCCTTAGAGATACAAATACATGTATGTACCAATATCAAGTGTCTGGAACATATAACTGATGATTGGCTGGACTATCAATATGCATACGGCAAACTGGACACTTTTTGTTGAACAATGTCTGATGGTTACTTTAGGTACAAGACACAGCAACACCTCATGATTTCAATTAATGAATTACACTATACACCATCCACATTTAAAAAGAAAACCCTATTTAACAGTACAATTAATTGATTAAATTGATTTGGAAGTTAAGTCATAGAGTATTTTTATACTGCCATAAAAGAATGCTCCAGTATTTTCGTAGTGTTGGTTAAATTATTATTATATAAAGACAGTAGTTTTTAGCAAATGCCATTAAATACTTGCGAATAATTTGCAGTGGAAGCTAGAAATTACAATTCCTCTGTGGTTTTAAGGGTCTAATTTGGATTCAGATTTTAAAATAGGAATACAAAGGCTGTACTCCAGTGTTCAGGGAAAGAGTAATAAACTATATAAAACATTTTGTAAAGTGCATCTAGCAAATATTGTTAACCATGTTTCAGCATTTCATTATAGACCTTACCCTCAGCTGAGGCTTTATTTTTAAGAGCATTAATTGCTTTTTTTGATTTCTTGGAAAGATTGAAAGATCTAAATAGGTAATACATATAGCTTTTTTTTTCTTTACAGAGTAGTTTAGAAGTTACCTCTGCATCCTGTGAGGTATTACTGTTGAGTAGATTTTAGAAATAACTGAACTATTTATTTGATTTGACTCCCTCTCCTTTGACAATGATGTCTCACCAGTGCCAAACGATAATGATACTACTTGTATTTGCGTGCTTTTAAACTTATTTCAGCAAATTGATGTAATTTCAAGCATTTTAATCAAATTTGATAGTGTCTATTTTTTTGTGTTCATAGCAGTAAAACGGCCAATGATTAAATAAACCCCACGAAGACTCCTAGGTAATGATCGTTACCAAATGCTTTCTATACGACCAGTCTTTTTTGGGTTTCAATGAAGCGTGAAGGTAATTCAGGATATATGTTTTATAAATATTTATCAATGTTCATAAAACAAATTTACGAGTTAATGAAAACCTGGTGTACCTCAACATTCAGTACGTATATTAAAGCTATGTTGTTGTTGTCTTATGACCGATGTTTTGTTACTGACATTCTGTGCGGTACGCCCACTCACTACAGCTACTCTACACTCTCGTTCACTTCCTGTAAATGTCGCCAGAATGTTGGAATCTATGAACTCAATATACTCTTAAACGTATGAGTTCCTACATATCACCTCACCATTTTACGGGCCTTCCTCAGGTTAATCTTTGCATTCAGGAATGTTATTGTTTGTCTAGTCTGCTCCACTGTCACAGCTGATAGTCACATGTACCGCCTTCCCAGACAGCGCCCTCACATGAGCGATAGTGAATTTACCATCATCAAATGTGCCCAGCGTTTGTGGAATCCGGTGGAATCCCATGCGAAGTTTTGAGACCACGACACTAAGATTTGCTTTGCCTGTTTTTCTGTACGATGTTACGCATGAACGCACAGTAAACGGAAAATGGTGTTTTGTCCTTCTTACCTCCTGTGTCTGCGAAGGGGGTAATGAGTTTGGTCTGTCTGTCTGTCTCAAAAACTTCTTAGCGATCCTATTGTCACTTTTAACATGGAGGTAATGCTTTTAGTAAGACGATAGACTGGCAAAGTTGAGACTTCTTTTTTGTTTTATAAAAAAAAATATAATTAATTGTCAATTCAGCCCTTTTAGCGTGATTGCAAAAATTATCGTGACCGCGAATTTCTTTCGTGGTCACCGTTTAGTTTTCGGCCCGTGTAAGCAGAAACTCAGGCATTTTCTGGCATTCCGCGACGATTGAGATTGATTATGTGTCCGTGGTATCACTGAACGTGACAGTGACGGTGTGCCTGATTTTCAAGATTCCATTCAGATGTTGTCAACTCCGTTATTCTAGATAGAAATGTGACTAGTAATATTAAAAATAATAAACTTCGGACGGGAAACCTATTAAAAATGTTGAATTGAATGCTGTTCCTCTACTTTGACTCACTGAAAGTGTTCCCACCGAAAGAAGAAAAAAATGTAAAGAAACCTCTTGAAAAAAACACGCCAGGGAAACACCGTGAACTTTGTTGCCCGTAACTCGAAATACGGTTAATTGTTTATGGAAGTTTGATTTACTAAACTAAAAGGGCAGTGGTGAAACAACAAAAACAACTCTTCTGCCAATGATTCGAACATTGTGTTTCAATTTAGATGTGGTTGTATTTTTGTAGCTCCGTTTATTCGTAACTCGAACAACTTAATTAAGCAGCTCATTCCCTCCGGGGACAGGAACTGGAAATTGCAAGATGTGTTCCGTCGGCAAACTTGGTCGATGCATGGAAGGTACCTTATTTTTTTTTTTTTTTTATATAAAGGAAAGTTTATTTTAAGGAGAAAACAAATGATTCGACTTTATTTTTTGTAAATGTAGTCGGTAAATATAATATCTCTGAAAAAAAACATGTTTTAAGTTGTTCTGATAAAAAATTGCACTGTGTATGTGTAATTATGTGTATACTAATTTATATAATTATGCGAGTGCGTACGAAGAGCAGCCTTTAATCAATTAAAGGTGTGATGGGCAGTGAGCCACTGGTATCCATTGTTTATGATTCTTTGTAGAGCCCACAGAGGCTGTGGTAAGGTGACTCTTGTCTATAGCTGGCAAGGCGTACACCATCTTCCCCTTCACTAGGATGTGACCATCGACTGCAAAACGAAAATTGTACATGTTAGATATCGCCATATGTATTATTGGACAAGGTAATGTCGTGATGTTGGCGTTTTCCACAATTAAAGGTTGATAACTATTCAATGCTCACTGGAGTAAAATTACATGCTGTTATTTTGAAAATAAGAGAATTGAATAACCAATACAATTGAGTATACGGGAGTCGTATGTTGCAGTAAACCCTTGTGATCACGGTAGATGGGAATTACGGGAAATTAAACAACTCAAAATATATGTAGTTCATGAAACTACATATATAACTAATCTGAATCACCTATTAATTTATCAGCAGCCATTTCGTCGTCAAAGGTAACAAATCCAAACCCTTTCGGTTTCCCGTTCGGGTTCTTCATGATTCGAAGTAGTTTAGTCTTGCCTATTTTATGGAGTTCCGTCTCCAGGTCGTTCTCGACCAAGCCCTGCGTGCCTCCCAGGAATACTTTACCACGAGTTCTCTGTGTAAAAAAACGAAGGAAATATTGTTCTTAAACTGCCATAGTGTCTGTTTTGAAGTCACGTGATATCATTGTTGTAAATACTGTAACAATGTATATGTTGACAACATATTTATGTCAACCAACGTTGTAACGTCAATTTGTTACATCCTATCTAGTGTGACGTCATCATGGTATCAGTGAGTTAAATTTCAAACGCGATGAACATTTTATAAGAAATATTTTTATGTGATGGACGTTTTAGATCGTCAAGGAAATTGGCTAGTTCTATCACTGGAAACCTTTTTTTTTTCTATAAAAATACACCGTTCTTTACTGGTAGAGTGACTCGACTCCTTTTTCAGACACACTTATGTAATATATATACCTTCTTGGCGCAACCGGACAGTGCTAAACGAACATCAACATCAGTTAAACCTCCAACCATTTCACTATCTCCGCCATCGTCAGGACTTGTTGAACACTCCATGGAATTACTAGATGGTTTGGGATTGTCATACGGAATAGCTGGTTTCACATCAACTGTCATCCCGTTGGGTAATGTGTGGAATCGATTTTCTAAAAAAATAAAGTTACAGTTATACGTTACGCAAACTAGCATTTCACGTATTGGGTCTTCTATTTTGAACACAGTCGAAAAAATAATAGCCACATTCAATCCAATGTGTAAATACCAGAAACTGTTCGACCGCTGCAGGATTTCATAGTTACTTACTCTGTATCAAAGAACTCGGAGGAGCTCTAAACTCTACGAAGCCGAATCCTTTACTCGAACCATTTCGCTGGTCTTTCTTAATACAAATAGATTTGAGTTTTCCGAATTGTGTGAAGTAATTGTAAATTTCCATCTGTTTGACGTTGCCAATACCACCCACGAAATATCTAAGTGATCGGCTGGTGGAAGGATTTACACTGTGGTGGTTGCTATGGGAATTGACTTCGCCCATGTACTTCGGAATGTTTTGTAAGCTAACCGCATGGCGTAAATGTAATATACAAGGTTCAGACGCAGATGAACGCGGCAATACTTCGCCAATATTCACGAAATCTGGTACGCTACAACACTGTAATATAATAGAAATTACATTTTAAAAATTATAGTGCATTTAATATTATTTTATTATATATATATATAATGCTGGAATAATTCAATCATGATTGAACACAAAATACGGATACCCACCCTGGTTAAATCGTGTCCCAACGCAGTGGTCTGCGGTGGTGCCCTACGGATCACATGACTAAACAAGTCGTCTGGTAAACCAGAAAACTGGGTCCAGGTACTTCCAAATAGTGGACTACTCGAATTAGAATCAATGACTTCTGAGGATAGTCTGTAGAAAAAAATAATAAAAAGAAATAGTAGGTGTCATAACGGAAAGGTAACGGGAAAGAATGATACGACGGTTGAATAATAGTAGTATCCGTCTTCTTTTTTTGAAAGAATTTAAAATGAACTTTTTGTTATCATTACAAAAAATATATCTAGAAATATTGAACCCAGTATTCCTTCACAGACTCTGTGCTACGACTGCTAAGAAAACACTTAGGAACGACGTAGAACTCAATTGAAAGAATATAGCACTAATAATTAATGTTTATAGAAGGCACCGTGCCCGTCATGCAAAGATCCGTCGGTGTGAACATTGTATGACGTTACTCGGTGTCCCAGACAAGCTCATAAAGGAAACACAAATGAAAACTGCATTTACAGTGTTTACAATAATTACAATTGGTTTTCTCGTTATTGAAAGTAGGAGGTTCGTTAATAACCGCGTCAGTATACTATGAGTCGCAGACTACTTACGTTACGTTTTCGTTCGATCCTGGAAACATTTTTTTTTTGCAAGATATTATCTTCTTGAAATATTATCGGTATTGTAAAAGAAAACAAGTTTCCAAGTGAGTCTTCAACCACCGAAATACTGACCGAGTAATGGAATAATAGTTATTCGGCGTGCCAACGTCAAGAAGCGGCAAGGTTCGATGGCGTTCCATTTACGACGTCAGAGCCGAGTCCGCGCTTCGCGTCGGGCTTCGTCTGTTATTCCTTCACATTAGGATTTACAGGGCTTAGGTGCGTTTTCTGGCGAATGACGTCGGCTCTTCGCGTTTTCAGTCTACGCTAGGGGTCGCCGGATATTGCTCCATGAAACGAGAGGTGACCGTGGTGTTAATTTTGAAAACAGCATGTCGTTGTGTACACCTAATGGCATTTGGATCAGACAAGTTTCAGATATTGCTCAAAATGTTTGAAGATCATAAAATTATAAAGTAATCTGACAACTCTCACAATATTATAATCTCTCATTGGTGAAATAACCCGCTGTTATGGGTATGCAAAATAACCACCAGTTCATCACGGCATGCACCAGTAGCAGTAACCCTGCATGTACACAGCCATTATACCAAATATGGAGAAAATTGTTCAATGTATTTCGAAAAGAATTTGATGAAGCTCAGAAATTAAGATATTTCCTCATTTTTAATTCAGTCATCTTGTCAAACACAATTCGATCGAGTGAAAGAAAACTTGACATGTACATGTCAACCATTAAGACCTGTCACTGTACAGTTCACCAACGGCTAAAAAACGGCAACTGTACATCAAACACGACCACAGCCTCTACCTGTACCAGATTCAAATCAGATTTTACTCACTCATGTTGAACCGCCACGAACAAAGATCAAGCGATAATATAGTATGTACCAAGGGCTATGCATTGTCAATTAATCATGATGATTTATCGACTCCTGAAACAGTGTAACCATCTAATCACTGTCGCAATTCACGGACTATAACTAATATGTTGATAGATAGTTTCTTTATTACAACCCTAAAGAAACATCACATTTCAAATCCGGTTAAATAGTGTAATAATTTCATTATTTCAAATGTTTCTCAAAATCAGTGTCATTCAACCACATTTTTTCTTGCTGTTTTCAGTATATAGTATATAGTCGGGTAGTTTCGTCAGTAACATTGATAGATTATTGTTGGATATTTATATAAAATTATAAAATATATTAAATTCTCTTCATATCACTGACTTCTGTATTTTGTCTTCGTATATTAATGTATCAACATTCTTGCATCGTGTGATAACCTTGCAATGTTGACCCTCGGGCTGTTTTAATTTGAATACAGTGGAAACTGTCGGATTGTGTATGCATGAACCTACAAACTCTTGATAACAGCAACAATGGTGTTCACGTGACACCTGTCATGGCCACCCATCAATATTACAATACTTATTTATTTCGCTGTTTACATCACCTCTCCTTTTAAGAATTGAACTTACTTTTTGGGATTCAATGTACATAATACGAAAACACAGTCGACATGCATTACGATTCATTGCTTTAAATATTTCCTTGCATCATAAAGGGCGGTGGTCGTCGCCGCCGCGGCGCCGCGTTCTGTTCGATAAGGGACTTCAAACGCGTGTAAAATACATTCTTTCTTTACATTAAATTTGAAACGTGCTGCGCGATGACCAACACTCTTTAATACTACAATAGTTTTATATTTTATTTATACATGTATATGATTTATAAAATGAGCAGCCAATTGCTGATTCCAGTCACTGTAAGTACTGCACTTTCAAAGTCCGTGACACAACAGACGTAGTCAATGTGGCCTATTGACAGGGAATTTTGGCAACGGTCCCAGTGGGGGGACTTAGTAAGACATTTGGACATCTCGGAAGAACAGTAACGTGTCAACTGAATTGCTTCGGCTATTTATTCGATTAAAACTACGCACCATCCCAGTGTGTGGTTCATCTTCTGTTATTTTGTTACTCGAGTGCATTGGAAAAATGAAATATTGCATTTTCTTCGCCATTGTGCTGCTTTCATGTGGAGCAGTACTATCTGAAATTCAGGACACTGCGACGCCATATAAAAAGGTGAGTTGGAAAGGTTTTACCGCTTAGAGTCACACCTGGCGAATAAATTGTGAATCGCCTAAATTTCATGATTTTTGTAACAATGAGAATTAAACGGTTCGCAGTACGCATACTGTTGCTGATACGGGTACTTTTACTCCGATAACCAATGAAACAACACACTTTATAAAGTACCCGGAAGACCCCCTTCCGACAGTAGCGCACACTAATGGAATTGCACGATGGACTGTCGCTCAAATCCAAGTTTAGTGACATATAAGGGGGTTTCAAATATGTGCTATTTAGCGTTTGTGGGCGGTAGTCACTGGGACCATTTTTGAAATGTGTTTGTAATGAGCGAAAACAACATTATGCTTGGTAGTCGGTGTGTAGACAACACACTAACAGCACTTTTTCGTCTAAACATTTCTGTGTTGATAATAACAAGTTGACCTAAGCTGAGTTCGTGACAAATACACTCCAATTTCGCGTCCACGCTGTTAAGAGTGTTACCAATTGCTGGCGTTGTGTAAAGAATGTCAACTTGAAAAATACATTTCCAACAAAAAATGAGCATCGATTTAATTTTCAACTGATTCTATCGCCACTATTTCAGTTATTGCATCTACTAGCCAACGGCATGCGAAAACAAGCAAATACGCAAATTTCCAGATAAAAAATACCATACAAATGTGGGGAAACACTGAATATTGACGAGTCACACACACACAGAATCTTCAAAAATGGACAGTGCATGGTATTATTAGTAATACAGTACTATTTAGTTTTGGTATCGAAATTCATATAACGCTGCAGCACAGTCCCTCTATCATAGAGGGACTGTGGCTGCAGCGAGACCACCATGGACCTGTGTCCATTTCAGGTCTCACCCGCCTAACTGAAACACAATGTATTTTGCGGAAAATAAACCAGCCCTGTAATGGAAGTTGTCAATTTCAATATCAGACCAGGTCACGGTGCTAACCAAGGTCCATGTTAACATTGTCAATTTAAAATACCCCAGCAATGAGGGCGCACTACATTTGACCTGAGTACATGTACTACTAAAAGCTATTTTCAAATTCCTGAATCTTCACACATTATCACGTTCCAAACCAGCGTTTCTACAACAAATTACACTTTGGTAATCTTCCTGTCTATTTTAGAATACATTGAAAATATACAAGTCATGTCTTTGCCAAACATTATTACACAAATACAATGGGCTGTTACAGACGTCCCTGCACTCGACTGAGACTTTGACAAAAATATCGGCGCCCATAATATGTTTTATTAAAATTGACATTTATATTTTGGCAAATATATTTTCAGAACATTGCAGCGCGAACATCATTCCCGATAGTAAATGACTACGTTGAATTGGATTCCGGTGAAACTATGCTAAAAACAGATCCGAATATTACTTTTCCATACGTACGTACTTTTCTTTTATTTAATTGAAAAGATTAAATATTGAGCGCGTGCAATCGACAATATAGAAAAATGGGGTTCAACTACTAGTATTACTTAGTAGATAGGGTGCTTAAAGGCCCGCCCGGGCAAGTGTGAATTGAAGGTGTGGCTATGCTAATGAGTGTTGTTATTCACTTGCATAGCCCATGTTTACAGAAACCCGTAGTTTATTTACAAGCTGATAACACCAATCTGCGTAAACATCGATGCGTGTAACGGTCAAAATCTTTGTACTAAACTTGTGCGTAGTCATCGGTGAGGGCGTAACACGCAAATCTCATCCTGTATCTCCATTTGACGAGAACACATGGAAGTTATCATCGCGGTAACAGGACGGTTTCGATGAGTTCGATGACTGATGTCCTATCACCTAGACAACTCGTACTCAGTGACGCATTATTTTGTTATCGTATAACTAAAATTAATATTAATATAAACATGTATGTTTTGTCGTTTTGAATAAAATCTGAATAAGATACGTAGTTTGTGGTACTGTTGACCTCTGTCATGTTCAATTAATTCCACGATTCATGTAACAACAATGGTTCAAACTCCACCGGCAAAATCTGTAATGCATATCGTTTTCAGAATTTGTTTTGGAGCTGAAATAAAAATGGTGAAGAGAACTTAGTGAAAGTCTGGTATTCTGTTTTCTCCCAAAAGACAAGGTTTCATTGCAGGAATGGGATGCACACTGAACTTGATCCAACAATAATTGAGTATCTTATAATAGTAATATATAGTGATAGTAATACTGGCAACCGCTGTCACATGTTTTGTTATGAGGTACATGTATATGATTTGGATAAAAGATACTAATAACAACCTTTTCATAATGAAAGGTGGTTTAATGAATGGTCATACGACACATAAGGCTGGTTTCACCATCATGATGTAATGTTCTTGATTCTTTGGGTCACACATATACTCTATGCAGCGATGGGGAATACAATTGAACATGCAGTTAATAAATATAATGATTTTCACATTTCGTTATAGAGCAAGGTGCCATTGGGTCGTCAAAATTTTGACGACGAATCCGAAAATGCTATTAATGACCAAATTGCAATGGAGTTGTACGCCTCGCACGTGTACCTGACGATGGTGAGTTAAAAGTTAAACTGTGGAAGCCAACAACATACATGTGGGGCATATATTGTCGTCCTAACCTATTGTAGAGAGATGGTAAATGGGGGAAGGGTTATATCATCAATATATCATACTGCATAATTACTGCCTTGTAAATAAACGCTGCCTTGAGTTTACTACCCACCATGTCATTTTGAATATAACGAACACCAATCACTGATAAATATGGCGTTTACACTTGTCAATGAATCTATTTTCCGTTTTTCCTGCAGTCCTACCATTTCGACCGCGATGACGTTGCTCTGCCTGGGTTCGCCAAGTTTTTCAAGAAAGCCTCGGACGAAGAGCGGGAACATGCTGAGGGTTTAATGGGTTACCAGAACAGGAGAGGAGGTAGAATTGTAATGAAAAGTGTTCCGGTGAGTATCGTGAGTGAAGAGTAAAACTATGGATGATAAGTTGTGGATGTCAAAACCCATATGGTTACATTTTGTTGTTTCTCCACGTATTTTATACTTTACGCTTATTCTGTATTATGATAATGTAGCCTCTCTATTATGGTCTAGTGCTAATGGTCAGTAATGGTCTTTATTGGAGAGCGCCTTTACAAACAAGCGTGTACCCATAAGCCTTTGCGTTTTTAGCGCGTGTTGTTATCGTCGCTTGGGATTCCCGCGCGTGCGCAGGTGACGACCCTCCCGTTTCCCGTGTTTAATTAAAGGTTGAGTCGAGTGACTGAGTGAGTGTAGCAGACTCAAGAATGTAATTTGACACAGTCTCACATTGCTTACAATGTTTCAGCAACCAGACAGAGATGATTGGAATACCGGAAGAGACGCGATGTGGCAATCTCTGGTATTGGAAAAAGAAGTAAATCAGCAGCTGTTACGATTGGTTAATCTGGCTGAGAACAAAAATGACCCTCACGTAAGTATAACGTACTAGTAGTTTGAATTAACAGCTTGTAGAATTACATTGCAGCATAGACCCTCTAACCTCCATGCTCTAACAAACGAGTGATCAGCTGTAATTTGCATAATCACATTTCGCGGTGTACGAGTTTTGGGGTAATTTGCATAACACCGTCTCGCAAATGGCGAGAGTTTGTTGAGTTTTAATCTGTGAGTTGAAAGAAACCGTTGGTTAAATTTTACAAGTAATTTTACAAATTACAAGTAACATAGATAACAGGAAATATCGCAGTTCCCTATCTATTAGAGGGTATATGATTGCAGATGTGTTTGTATGGGGGATAGACCCTTCAGTACCCTCAAAATAACCTTTTTAGCACACGGGAGCACTTTCAGAAGCACAAAATACACGGAATTTTTTTTTACAAATTTGCAAAGTGACAATACAACTCCAAAGTCAAGAAGCAAGTTGGAAATCCATTTTTTTCAAAAAATGAGACACTAGCAGTCAGTGATAAAATGAAATCATTGTTCTCAACAACGAGACAGTTAGATATAACGTTATAGTTACACAGAGGAACTGCTTATACCGGTAATGTGAAGTTTGTAGGGGAGATACGTTTGCTATTATATGTTCGTGGTCGCATTAAATTCGGCAGCACCGTCCAACGGCACTATCTTTTTCCGCGTTTTACCCAATTACATTATCAGTTACAAATAGTATTTGTTAAATTAGTAAACAAATATAAGTAGATTTCAAGTTAGTATAATGGATCATGTTTAGTAATCTACCGACTAAGTACTTGAAAGCATGATGACAGAATTAAATTTTAAAGCTTATTTTTTTCTTGTTTGTCTTTTTCAGCTTGCCGATTTCATAACATCGAACTACCTCAAAGAGCAGGTGGAGTCCATTGCCGAATTTGCCCGACACATTTCAAACTTAGATCGTGTTGGACCGGGACTCGGTGAATACATGTACGACAAAGAGACTCTTCAGTAGTGAGTGCTTGGAATCAAGAGTAATGAGCGCCCTCAGCGTACATCTATGTCAATGGTCAATTTTCGTCAAATTACTAGTAAAAATTGTATCTAGTGTTATTTCAAATGAAATGTTTCAATACACATTAATAATTATTACACCTTTAACACCTTAATACATGCCTATTTATTGTAATTGAATAACATGGTTAATACAAGTGATATTGTCAGCTTATATTCTCAGGCATTGGTTTTAAAACAAGAACAAACAGAGAACGTTAATTAAAATTGAAAGTCTGGGTAATAATAGTCGACTTCCAGCTATAATTAAAAGAATGAGAATGAAATTAGAAATGGCAGTAATCGTCTAAAAATTAAATATAATATTTGAACGTATGTAGCTGTTTGATAGAATAAATCTGTTATGCGAAATATTATGATGCGTGGAAATGGTTTATACCTGACTATCGCTAACGTCGGGATGGGGGATCTCAAATCAATGTTTCGTTTTTGTTTCGTGCAAAGGACGCTGGTGGCACGAGATAGTCTGGTCACCTGCCCCAATTTCTTAACTACCCTCAGCGTTGAAATTGGAGCAGGGGACCTGACTAGTGGCACGACTGTGGCGTTTTCATCAATGTGACCCAGGGTGTCCTTGCTCACATGTCACGTAGTATCGTGTAGACTTTACATGTGCCATGGACAATCCATACGACATAAGATAAGTTTTCAATGACACTGGCTTGCAGACCCAGATCCTTAGCACGGGCTAACGTTTGGAAGATTTAGCTTGACATTCTTAACTATTTACGAGGTGAACCAGTGTAAATTAACGGTATAAAACAAGTAAACAATATTTGCCAATATACAAACAAGGGTCGATATAACCTGGAAATTTCGCGTGGCGTCGCTGTAAGGATGTGTGAATCAGCAATTTCTGTGACACATTTGTGTTTTGTTCAAGTTGTTGTTGTTGTTGTTGTGTCATTCTTCAAGTAATCTATAAATATAGATGTGTTGCAAAATCAACATCCAGCGCATGCATTGCTTGGTCACTGGATATTATATGGGAAGTGCTTCGGATCAATAATGAATTTCATCTATACGCATGATTGGTAATACAATGTTGGATAACTCTTAAAATCACCATTAGACTGGCACGGTCGGGACTTCTTTTTTGTTTTACCAAAAAAAAAAAATGTTCTTTAGCGTGATCGCGAAAACTAACCTGGCGGCTAAAGAAATTCCGACTGGACGCATCTGCGGGCATTTGCTGCTGTTAATTATTCATGAAGTCATTGATCTGGATCCGGCTGTATACCGATAATGTGTATATAATTGACAGACGAAGCAAAATACTTTTCGGGACCAAAAACGCCGCGAAACCACGGCTACTGGTCCCATTGCCAGTTTGCCAGAACACTCATCGCCCAGTCAATCTTTCCCTGGAATCTTCTACTTAGTTTCATCTCCACACCGTCACCATATACCAGTTTCAAATATCCTTCAGATCTCCGACAAAATTCGATAAACACCTTGACGTAATAGCAATAATTGTTCAAAATCAGAAACTGCATTTAAAACTGAACTGTTCACACGAAGTTAATTTGGAAGACAATACATGACTACACAAAACACAACAACAGCAATACCGGTAATAAACCTGTATCAGAAATTACCATATACAGAATGGATAAACCACTTTAAATCTAATTCAAACACTTCAAAGCTCAGACAAGAAGGATAAAAGCAGCACCAAGAAACATTGAAAACATGAAGAAAACAAACGAATAGCTAAAACAAGAAAATAACATTACACGAAATCACTACAGTATTAAGAAAACTAAAGTGAGAATAGGAAATCTTCTGGCAATGGCATCGATGGAATACCGCCGGAGATGTTGAAATATGGTAGCCCACTTCTGAGTCAATCTCTACATTATCATATAACGGTATTATTTACCATGTACTTATAGCTGAACATTACCCACAGCTTTAAAAACATCAACACAATAACACCTATCCATA